ACCTAAAGCCAGAGTACTGTAGCAAAGGGAAAGGAGAAATGTATCAATACAAACTTGGTGAAATAAGCCCCTAAAAAAAGATTATTTACTGCTGTCAGAAATCATGAACCAACAGTTCACTGCATGCAGGCCAGGAAGATGCTACAAAGTTCTCCATAAAGTAGGAATACCAACATATAAGGAGATCTATTTACTACAGATTTCTTGTTCAGATTCTTGGCTGGGGAAAGAAGGGTGCAGGGAACAGTGCTGTCTGGCACAGCATGCTCTTCACTTACCTGTAATGTGTCCATTGTGTTCCTTTAGCTCGTGAGCTTTTACCCACTGGCTCCCATTCTTCTTGTAGATGTGGACTTCATGATTATTAGGGCTAATGGCAATTTCTTGAAGAAAAGAAACAATCCATTAGTACAGAAAGCTTTAATACCCTTTTACTTGAAAAAACTTGCCAGTCTAAAGCTTGTACTCTTAACTTTAAGAGCATTACATAGCCCTTGGTTTACAAAACCTAACATCCCTGCTGGATAATATCAAAGAATGATGGCCATAACATGATTGTGAGAACACTGAACAGAAAGACAGCACATCTGGAATGTAACAATCCAGCTGCAGTAGAAGACTATACATAAAAAGAAAAGGCTGGGCTTGGGGCAGAGAAATAAAAGGTTAAAGAGTATGAGACAGGTCATGTTCTGATGAGGTACAGACCAAGAGGCAAAACTTCCTGGGACCCCACTAAGACTGGATTTGCTCACATGTCAAAGTTTCAAAAAAGGTTCTCAAAAATCCAAACCAGATTTAGGACTGCAGCATGCTTTTTGGATTATAAGTGTAGTGCTATGTATTTGACCACATCCTCCTTAAACGTGGTCCAGAACATTTCAAGATGAACCAGTTGACAGCACAGAGAAAAGAGCAGTTGAAAAAGTAAATGAAAACATTACTTACGAGTACGGTCTCTGTTCCATGCATGGCAAGTGATTGGCTCCAATAAGAACTGATGTAGAGACATTCCGAGTTAAAGATATTCCTATGTTGGAAAAGTTGGGGGGGGAGGGAAAAAACTGAAAGGTGTAAAAATGACAACAAAACACTTAAGTTCAATGGTTGTTAAAACAAAAATCAGTCTTTAACATTTACAAAGGCTGTTTCAGCTCAGTATGACAACTTATTTAGACAATGACACATGCTCGGTAGATTAAGACATTTCCCCTTGTGCCCCAAGATCTTTGGTAGGTCAATGAATTTTAACTGTCCTGCTAACTACAGCTAATTGCAATTGCTCTAAAAGGTGTATGCTCTTGCTTCTTACTGTATCCTCATATGAGGGAACATTCTTAAGAAAACTGACACCTAACACTTTAACTGTGGAATTAAAATACTTCAACAAGAAATTTAGTGACACCTCGGTGAATTGATTTGACATTCTGGTGTGTATTGAGGTTTGCTGCATTACAAGGAAATCTGTTTTTTCCATCTATCAGGAGGCTAAACTGATGTGCTCAGATACATAGCTGTAATCTGCTGATGTATTACTTAATAAAACCATTTATATGTATCCTAGGGAAAAACTACTAACATCAGTAATTAGTAATTAGTAATTCCTTCAAATTAATCCTAATGCTTAACTGCTTTATGGCTTTCACCCTCATGAGATTCAAACAATGAAAGAACAAACTGAATTCTTTGGGTTTGTGAATACTTTTTTTAATAAAGCTAGACAATGAGTTTTTCTTTCAACTTACTGCTGAACATTTGCAGGTGATGTCAAAGCTCTTTAAAATATCAGATCATATTTTTGTCCTGTGTTAATCAAGGACAGCATAAATGGATGGCAGGAAGCACTGTAACAAGTCAAGGTCACCTGTAATAACTGAAATGTGCACAGCTCAACACACCACTTGGATTTGTTGATTTCTTCCTCCTTTCATGTATTCCACTAGTTTTTGTAGCAGTTTATCCTCTGCTGATAGCACAATGTCTGTCTGCCCCTCCACATACATCTAACAAGCACCATCTCTGTGATGTCACTCCAAGACATCCACACCCATTGCAGCCTGAAATTACAACATAGCCAAGTATGGCCATGTTAGCAGAGGGTGGAGACTTCAGGACAAGGTAGGAATTTGGAAGCAAACAGGAAATGAATGGCGGTCCCACAGAAACTCAGGAGTGAATGAGAGCTGAGTAATCCCTTATAGGGCTGAGCAATTGTAGCATTCCACCAGTTTAAGAAATATGCACAAAGTCCTGAGTGGAGATGATACAGTACTTCACCAATGCAAATAATTGAACAGATTTTCTTATTTAAAAAATCAAGCCTTGTTATTAAAGAGACATGATTTGCAGTTTCATTAAATGCATTTAAAATAGAAACTTTGGCTAAATGAGCTTTAAGTCCAGTTCATAATTTTAACTGCCATACTTTTTAGTTCTTCTAATAATCATATGCTAAAGATCAAATAAAGCTACTGCATGCATGCAGCCCTAAGAAAAATAATTACTTATTTTTACTGATGTGAGAACATTGACACAATCCAAGTTACCTTTGACCTTGGACAGCCATGGTTTGAGATTCCATGTGTTAATGTAAGCAAAACATGACTTCAAATTGCCTTTTCCACAGTCTTGCTTTAGTACATGCCAACAATTCAGTAGCAGTGCATTTCCATATACAGGAAAAGCTGAAGAGCTCCACTACCAACAGGGAATGCTCAGCCTTTTTGACTCTTTCCAAATGAAATGTAAAACTATCTAATCTCTGCTGCCCAACAAATGCAGCTATTTCCAAATGCTTTCTAATACAGTCCATGTGCTTTCTCCACAGGTTGGCACTCCATAAAACACCACTGTCCCATCCGAACAGCTCCTAGTTCAGAGATTTTTGCTCACTAACCTACAGGCTGTTCCTAAAACTTACACCTGCACAAGGGATGTGATGAATTCTTGCCCACTGAGCTTCTCAAGCACCACAACTGGCAGCAAGCAGCAGGTTTGAGTTTGGTAACACTCATTAAGAAACAAGAGCGATGACAATCTCAAAAAGCACAAATATTTGTCATCTGATCATTGCAATATTATTTCCTTTGGGGAGATGAATACTGTTTGTAAGATCTTAAGATTTATTCCTTCTCAGCACAGAGACCAGCTGAATGACTCAATACAACCAACGCATCATGAACCCCTCAGTGTTCTCCTGTCTGCCAACCTCAGTGTTCTGTGTAGGAAAGGCACTGTTGTGATAACTGTTACAGAATCACAGGATGGCCAGGGTTGGAAGCAACCTCAAGGATCGTGAATCTCCAACCTTCCTGCCACATGCAGGGCCACCAACCTCCGCATTTCATACTAGACCAAGCTGCCCAGGGCCCCATCCAACATGGCCCTGAACACCCCCAGGATGGATGGAGCATCCACAGCCTCTTCGGGCAGCTGTTCCAGCACCTCACCACTCTCTCTGTAAAGAATTTCCCCCTGACATCCAACCTAAATCTTCCCTCCTTCAACTTAAAACCATTTCCCCCTGTCCTGCAGTTATCTACCCTTTTCAGAGTTGATTCCCCTGCTGTCTGTAGGCTCCTTTAGGTGTTGAAAGGCTGAGGTCACACCTCAGCCTTCTCTTCTCCAGGCTGAACAAACCCAGCTCCCTCTGCCTGTCCTCATAGGGGAGGTGCTCCAGTCCCCTGATCATCTTTGTCGCTATCCTCTGGACCCTCCGTTAGCTCTTCCCTTTATTTTTCTTTTGAATGCAAACTACCTGTCCTCGAGTTTCAGTATATAGCTTAAGGGCTGGGTGATAAAAGGACTCCTGCGCGCTCAGCCCGAGCCTTCAGAGCACATCTACCGCAAACAGCCCTGAGCTGCTGTCACCTCTCGAGAAGCGCGAGGCCGCCCCCGGATGAACAGCGAGGAGATGCGTCCAAATCGCAGGCAGCGAGTGAGGGCGAGAGCCGCCGTTAATCTCTGCCTATTTCCACATCCCGTCGAGCAGCCGGCCGAGCGCTGCCTCCCATCGCCGTCATCCCTCCGGACCCCCAGCGCTCCGTTCCCGTCGGGGCGGCGGCAGCTCGGCACGAAGCGGGCGGTGCCGGCCGGCCCACGCAGGTGAGCGCTGCCCCGAAGGACGGAGCCGCGCCGCCGCCCCGCCCGCTGAGCCGAGCGCAGGGCCGGGCGAGGGGCCCGCAGGCCGCGGGCGACGGCCGGGGAGCAGCCGTCCCCTCAGCGCCCGGGCCTGCGGGCGGGCGGACGGCCGCTCCTCGGGGCCGGGACTCACCTGAGGCGGCGGGGGCGGAGCGGGGCTCGCGGACTCTGGGCAGTCAACGCGACTCCGCTCCGGGCGGCGGCGGCGAAGGGGAGGGGTGGGGGGGCGGCCCGGCACTGACAAGGGAGCCAGGAAACGCGCACTGCGCCTGCGCGCCGCCCGCCGCCCAGCCTCCCGCCGCGCGTTGCGCATGCGCCGTGCTCCGGGGGCGGGAGGACGCTCTGCGCCTGCGCGGAGGGAGGGTGGAATGTAGGGTGCGCGCGCGCGTCGTGCCCGCGCCTCACACAAAGGAGGCGGTTGGGCGGGAGGCGCATGCGCAATGAAGGGTTGGCGCGGCCACGTGGTGCTGGGGGAGTTGAACGTGGGACAGCGTGCGGTGTGGGGGGTTTATGGGTGTGCGAGGGGAAACGATGGAGCGTGGCGTGTCTCAGGGGCAGCAGGTGGAGATCCCCGCCTGAGAGGTCTCTGGGGCTGTGGAGGAGCTGCTGCTGAGTGTCCTGAGCCGTGCTGGCCTTGGGAGGTGTTCAGCTGGGGGCTGTGAGGCAGGAACTGCTGTCTGTTGGCTGGGCGAAGGGCCTTCCTGAGCAGCTGAGCGCTGTGTCCTGCGGCATGGCAGCCTTGTCCTGCTCCTCGTCCCTCTGAGCAGCTCCTTGAGGTCTCGTGCGTTGGCTCCTGTAACGCTGGGCTTATAAACACTACTGGCAGCGGGGCTTTGTGACCTGCAGGATGCCGAGTGAGTATCTCGTGGGGAGGTGAGCAGCCCTGAGATACGGCTCTGCTGCTCCTCGTTGTGAGTTTAATTTCTGGTCTGAGAAAAATCCGTTTGTAAGCAACTGCAGGGGAACGGGGTGAGCTGTGTACAGCATGGCTTTGTTGTGAGTGAGTTGAATCTCATCTCCATCTCTGGCAGTGTAACAGCTTGCAGATAAGGGTAAGGCAACGTGTGTCATATAGCTTGATTTTTAGTAGAACTTCTGATGTTGGCTCGCGAGATTTTCTAATAATAAACTGAAAAACCAGTCTACGTGATGCTGCTTTAGCAGGGTTGCAGATCTAGTTGAGGAAAAATGCACTTGGTATCAGCACTTGTCTGGGGAACTACCTTCAGTCCATTACTCATCCGCAATGAAACAGGCCCTGTAATTAATTACTGTATTTGAAGATGAGGCCAAGTTTGAGCTTGTATGAATGCACTGCCAGAGAACTAGAATGCAAAAAGGGGAACTCTATGGATAAAAGTAACAGGTGTAGTACTGTATGCTTCATAATTGTGGGTTAATTGTACTGATCTTAGGGAAAGCAGCTGTCTGTGCTGCAGGAAAGGATGGAGGGGCTGCTGTGGGCTGTAAGCTGACTGAGTATCAACGTCTTGCTGTTGGAGAGGTGAATGCCATGCAGGTCTGTGTAAGTGAGAAAACTGCTAAATAAGGCACAGGCATCCTGCTATGCTGAGCTGTGCTAAAACAGTGTGTCCAGTACTGGGCTCCACGTGAGAGAAATTTGTATGATTTAGATCATACAAATGATCGGTCTTTGAACGCATGACTTTCACAGAGCCAGAGAGAACAGAAAGCCACAGACATGGTAAGTCTTCAAATAGATGAAAGGATGCTGCCATGAGGGAAGGGACAACTTGTTCTCTCATGTCCACTGGGGGTGGGGTGAGGAGCCATAGGCTAAAATAACAGCAAGGCAGATCTAGGTTACAGTGAAAAAAATTTCTGTCATTCTTCTGAACCAGTCAAGCAGTGTTGGACTGACTAGGCAAGATGTGGGCTCTTCTTAGAGGTTTTAAGAATAGATCAGACAAATATTTCTCACAGTAGGTGAAGCACAATATAAGGTCTTGCGTTCAGGAAAGTGGCTTTGCTTAATGGGCTCCTAAACCAGTGTTGCTGTGGTTCTGTAGCCCTGAGATACGTAATCCTTGCAGCCCTTATTGGCTTAACGATAAAACTAGTTCAGCTGCACAGATTAAAGATGCTCAACTAGGCCAAGTGACATTACGTAACGGGAATGAAATTGCGTTTAAGCATGGCTTTATGTTTTCAAAATGATTTTCACCAGATGGGGTGAAAGTATCCTAAATGAGGAGCTCTGCAGAGCTTTTAAGCATTAAAGGCTAAGGCCTCATCTTCAGCATAGCTTTCCAGAGAACGTTCCACCTTTGTTCCTGTGGTATTGCTGATGCAATTAAACTGTGGTAATCCAGAAAGAATGCCAATGTTTTTGAGATTAAGGCCTTGCAAGCCAAATCAAAATGATTTTAGGAAAAGTAGTTTAGGTCAATGTGACCTTAAGATATATCTGGGGGGGGGGGGAAGAAAAACAAAGAGCTGGGGCATCATTTTCATTCTTTTTTTTAACACGAGGGCATACAGTTGGTAACAGCTACTCAAAAAGTGGGTTGCTGTAACACAAACAGGTATTTGCAGATAATAGTGCTTAGTTTGGGAAGCCTTCCAGAAGTGTGTTATTCACCCCAGTATTTGAAAACTTAGCAATTTCTGGCATTGAGCATTATATCATGTCTCATTCTTAAAAGGGGACAAGAAAGGCTGTTTTTTCCAATTGCATTCTCTGCATTTCTGGAACTGCCATTTAGATCACAATTTTTCAATATTGATTTTCATCAGAAATACTCTTGAGTTATGAGGAGTGCTTGCCTTCAGATCAAATGAAGTCACCGGTTGAAATAACTGCAAATTCAGGAATTTTAAGCTTGAAAAGTCAATGTATCCAATTGTCCTGGTGGTGGTGGTTGTTGTTTTTGCATCTTAATACAACATTATGCGCGACAACTGTTAGGACTTCATACAATTTGTGCATGTGTATTACTTTGTGTACGTCTGTGTGTGTGTTACTGTTGTAATACAAAATAAGAAGGAAGGCAGGCTGCTTGCATATTGATCAGACACACTGAGTGGTCTTCTTGCATACTGGCTTTCTAGGTAATGATAAACTTGATGCTGACTGCTTTCTCCTTCCTGTGGTGGGAGCCTCCGTGCTCAAGCTGGTAGGTCTGGGGCTCCAAGTGCCCACCTTTAGATCTAAGTGTCCAGTGTGCAATGCTCAGCAATGCCTGCCCTGCTGTTAGCCTGCCTTCCAGGGATTGTGTGCTTGAATGCATTTGTTGCAGTTGTCCAAGCAGGACCTGGTGAATAACAGCAAGGTGATGGTGTTTGGATGGTGGTAGTGTTTTACAGTAGCTGCTGCAGAGAATCAACTCCACTAGAAAAGAAATAGTGGCAGCATTTATTGCTTTTTCTTTTTAGATCGGCAGTGAAATTGTACACAGCTGTTTTAAACACTGTCTCATCTGAGACATCCACTAGGAGCCAGCCCTGCTATTTCCTGAGCATGTCTTCCACAACCAGCAGAGTCTCGTGCCATGCAGCCTGTGCTCTGCTGCCACAGGAGCTGTGCCCACCTCCCAGGCTGTCAGTTTGCTTCCTCTCCATCATCCTGTTGCAGTACCTCCTGACATCAGGTTTGAGCAGCACCTGATACGCTGTTTTGCTGTCACACTGTGAACAATCTCAATATTTTTTTTTTCTGTACAATAACCTTTACTAAGATTTTGCATTACAACTATTATCAAGAGGAATTATTTTCAAGAGATAGCCCAGGTCCCACCTTCTATCTTAAAGTCCCAAACCTGTCAGTGCAGGTATTTCTCAAGTACTGATGGTGTCTTCTGTCACTCAAGGTATACTTGGGAACTACATTTTCAGTTTCTCAGATCTCATACAGGTATTTCTTCCATCTGCGTGTTGTTGCATGCTTTCTGTCCTCTAGTGTCTTTCCTGCATCGCTATCTTTGTGATCTCAAGCCTGTCAGTGCAGATTTGCTATGTACCATGCTCCCCAGATGAGATAGGCTTTTCCTTAAGAGAGATTCTTCCTGTGCAATTCTGGTGCCTTTGAGAAGATGCCCTTATTGATCATCCCTTTTGGAAGCATTAGGGTGCTGCTTATTAGCCCGTAATGTTTTACCATTAGTGAAAACACCCCAGTAGCAACCATTTGCCATTTCAGAACTTATCTCTGTGCATAAACAGGTTTGTGGAGTACCTATGTTGAGAACGCACCTGTTTTCCTCATCTCTTTTCCACACCCTTTTCTGCTCTAATAAATTCATGGCAGGTGGCTTCAAACACGAGCTCCAACTTCAGCAGTTGTTCCTGAGCCACTGACATGGTTGAAGAGGGTTTTGGCACTTGGGCATCTCTCCAGAAGCCAGCCCTTTGCTGGCTGAGAATTCCTGCTGTGCAGTTAGAGCTGATCTGTTTGTTCCACCCCTTTCTTCTGTCATCTAGTTTGTGTATGGTCTTCCTGTACTTACACAGGCTTTGGTTATCCTCCCATTCCTGGACCAACTATTTAACAAGAGAAATGTTTGCACTGGGAAAAAGTGTCTGAGGATATGTCTGATGTGATCCTTCAGCAGATGAACAAGATGCAGTTATGTGATGAAGCCATGAGCTTGGATAGGGAATATATACAGCTGCTTCATTTTACTTCTCAGTGTTTTCAGTTCTACAGCTTCTCCAGCCATTCTAGTTCTGCACACTAGTTGGTTTTGTTGTCATCTGGAAGATCAACTCCTATAGAGGCTTCTTGTGCAGACTGAAAATTCTGCAGGAGAACGTCGTGTTTCTATTTGGAGGATAGCTCTATATCCAGTTACTTAATCTGAAAAGGAACAGCAGGATAAATAATCACAGAAGGGATTTGAAGTGTTAATATGAGGATCAGAAAAAGAAATAGGAAGATGGTATCTATCCCAGGAGTCTGGAGATGCTCATGCTCTTGAGTTTTGTTGCAACACAGAAATAAAGGGTAAGTCCTGCCACTGCTGATGGTACACTTTGCTGCTGATACCAGTAGCTTGTTACTGCTGTATTCAAACACCATGATGGTTGATTGATATGTTCTGCTCAGGGTGCAGAGAGCTGAAGTTCCCTTGTGCTCCAGTGGACTGGAAGCATCCTACATGCATCTTTTTTGCTTAGTCTGGCTTTCCTGAAGTTAGTATATTTCCTTTGGTACATGTTAACTGTTATCTGAAATGGGATGTTTTCATTTATTTTTGTTGAATGTGGAAGATCAGGTGCAGGAAAGAGTTTTGTAGTTGCACAGATCTACTAGAAAGCTCATTCCAACCAAGCACGTCTTTTCTTAGCCTGGAGTTTCATGGTAGTGCTTTTTTTTCTTTTTTTCTTTTTGTCCTTTGAGAGCTAACTACTCAGCCTATTCAGTTTTGATTTACAGATCTTTACAATTTATTAGTTCTTTAATATTTTCCAGGTGCATGTTGTGGTCCTGCTCCTGACGCAGCTCTTTTGCCACGCAGGAGGCTTCTGAGGAAGGTATGAAAAGATTGACAGTGCAGCTATTTATACAGGGTATTGAAAAATAGGATGTGTAGACCTGTATGCTGCCCTCTGAGAAAATTTGCCTTATCTTTAATTTTTCTTTATCATTGGCTGCCTTTTTAAAAATTGGATCCAAATTGATGGAAGTAATCCCAGCTGACTTGAGCAGCGCTAGGTCAGACCATAAACCAGGTAGTGGTATGCTTGCTTAATACCTTTGGAACACTCAAAGGTATTATCCCTATCTGTTAAGTCAATAACTTTGTTCTAATAACATTTCAGGCTCTGATGTCCACCCTTCAGTGGAAAAATGTGATTTGGGGGCGTGCGGTGGATGGAAGGTGAAGATACTGTCTGAACGTGAGGTAGCCTTAAGCAGAAAGGCAGGCCACTCATCCTTACTTGGGGAGAAAATGCTATGCATTAAACCCACATCTAGCTTTGATATTTCTGAAGTGTCAGTTGTCAGCACGGTGCCAATGGAGCAATCTGCTCAGTGCTGGCAACTTTTCTCTCCTCTGTGCCAATGACGAATGTCTTTCTCTATCTAGAGAGGGAAACTAGCCTCCTCTTGTGTTGGAGACCTGGTAAGTGTGATGGGTGGAGCTGTGGAATAAGTGGAAGAAAGGATGAAGAGGGAGGAAATGGAGGAATTCCTCAGGGTGCCACCTGTGGTGTAAATTACCAAAGAGACATAGAGAAAGTAGATTTCTTCTTCTGTGGATTAATTTTGCCAGACTGCAATCAGTGAACTAACAAGCATGCTGCTTTTCAGGATTCTAAAAAGCAAAGCAAGTGCTAACATGTTATTAACAGTGTTCTTCCAATAAATGCTGGAAGCCTTAGGATATATTTTCCATGTACCAATATAAAGGGCAGAAGGGTGGAGAGGTAACTTGCATCAGCCACAACTTTCTTTGCTTTCTCATCAGCTTTTCAGTGCTCAGGGATGATTTCCTCATGCTTGTTAGTAGTGTGGTAAAAATCAAGTTTTGACTTCATCTAATAGCAGGCAGATTCTTTCTAGAAAAGAAGGGAGTCCTGGATTCCCAGAATGTTAACTGCTCACCTCTGGGGCTTCCATTTGTCTCATTAAGTGATTTGTGGATTAGTTTTCAGTAGCTTATTTTTCTCTATAAAATTGTGCCCTACTAAGTCGACTGTGATTCACCCCCACTGTATCTGTGTTATGGAGCATTAGGACCTCTGTATTTACCTTAATGCTAAATGAAAGCTAAAATGATGATGCACCTCTGAGGCAGAAATAGACCCTGTTGTTTACAAAGTCCTTGAGTCTGAGTCTGTTTTACTGGATGTCTGTGTACATGGATTTGAGTCTATAAACCAGTATTATTTATTTCTAAGTTAAGCTGCAGTAGCAGCAGCTGGCTTTAGACCTGCCTGAAAATGTGTTTGATTGCAATCTCAACAAACAAATATAGTCTCTGCTCCAGAATTTACAATCTGTGTCTTTTTATCTCATGGAAAGTATGAGCTCCGTGGCTTATGTAGTGATTCATATCAGTAAACAGTAAGCACTGGAGGACTCTTGTTGCTGTAAAAAAAAAAAATAATAATAATAATAAAAAATAAGCCCCACTCATAGGAAAAAGAACTACAAGGGCTTTAATAAAAAGGCTGCATTCTAACAACACACTGCTCTTCAGCAGAAGAACATCAAGTAAATGTGCTGTTGTGTTCTAGAATGCTGCACAACGTCTGTGTTGTATAGGTTTTGTATTAACAAAGCTTAGAACTCCAAATTTGGTATGGAGGTTGCAGTTCACCTGCTAAAAATGTATCCTCTAACCACCAGTCAGTTGCAGGTAAATGTATTGTTTGAGTTTCTAACCTATTTGAATAACAGCTGCATTTATGACTCAGTTCTTATAACTGATGTCCCATAATTGCAGCTGAGAAATGCTTCTCGTGGTGTCAGTCCAGAACTCATATTCTTTTCCTTGCAGATGTTTGTATGTGTGGTCTATCCTTCATGGAAATGAACTGCAGACTGTGGTGAATGTTAAAATAGCTTCTTATATCTATGCAGAGAGTGAAATGGCAGCTATGATATTTCATACTGCAATCTGTAAAGCAAAGATGCTTAAAATTTCACTGAAGTAGATCTGGCTGTGGGCTGCGTTCCATGGAGAAATCCCAGCACCATGGAAACAACTAACAAAACTATAGTTTCAGTGGAGGCAGAACTTAATACTGCCCTTTTTAAGGCAGGTTTTTCAGAAGTGCTCAGCACTGTCTTAACTCTTCCACCAAATGTGCTAAAAGCCTTTTCGTAGGCCTTGCTAGGAGCAAAGCTGAGCCAAGATAGTCCAGACTTTGTTTAAAATAAATAAAAGTCTTGCCATCCATCAGGATAATTATTCTAATGACTGAGCTCTTCAGGTTCCACAGAATTTCCTTATAGAGCAGTGTTACGTTTGTCCATTATTGGCCTAATCCTGCCCTTCTTACTCAAAGTTAAGGTTGAGTGTTAAACTACCTGCATGTAAACTGTCAAAATAGCTCTTGCATAAATAACCTTCTCTATGCATATCCATTGTTTTCACTGTGTCTCTCCACAACCTCTCTCCTCTCCAGGAGTTTGGGAGGGCACACACTGCTCTCTGGGCATTCTGAGCTCCTTCCAGGTCTGTCAGTAGTGTTCTGAGTTGTTCCTGTAACTTTTCTCGTGCTGGTAAGTGGTAAGTAAGCATCTTCATCCATTTGAATCCAAAGGTCTTGAAAGCAGGTAAAAGAGAAAATAATGAGCAGAGAGGAAGCTGAAAGATGTAGGAGGTTCTCTTTGGCCTTTGGTCTCTAAGGCTTTTCTTTAAGGTGTTGCCAAATTAAAACAAAACAAAAAAAACCCAGTGCTTTATCCTGCTATCATTTGTGCCTGTCTGCAGTCCTTGTAGCCACGTGCTCTGTGAGAGGCTCTCCTGACTGAGACAAACGTAACAGAGCACAAGTTAGGCTGTGTATGTATATGCACACACGAGTGGGGAGAGAGAGTCTTGTTATTCTTTCAGTTCCTGAAATTGTATTTTTGGCAGCAACTGTATAACAGTTCCACCAGAGTCTAACTTTGTCACCCTTTTTCTGGGTTTTCCTTTTGGAAGGAGTGCCAAAGGAAGCTCTGTGCTTTTACTCTTGGTGAGGTCCTAGTCGGTTTTGTGGCTATGCTACTGCAAACAGCCCTTTTTTTGTGCTGATCACATCATGTGATTCTTTTGGATTCTAATTTGAGAAAAGCTGATAGTAATGCTTATCTTGTGTAAGGTTTGTTGGAACTACTCAGATTGAAATTGGTGTGAGTGGGAGAACTGGGACTAATGAATAAACTGAGAATTTATATTGAAGATGTCTAAACAAGAGTACATAATTTCTTACTTTGTTGCTTAAGGTGTAAGATAGAACTGGCACGCTTTTTTATTCAGGGTCCTGCTTGCACCTTCTGCAGTTTAGCTTGACATTCTGTTGCAGTTGGTTCAGCATCTTGAGGAGCTCATTATTGTTACTGTTGGCACAATCCCCTCAGATTTCCATTTTGTTTGGGTCTGTTTCCACCTTCTTGAGCTTGGGAGTTTCATCATGTCCTGTTGATTCAGTTTCCAGACTCACCTGTGGAGACTCAATTGCATGCTGGTGATTTTCCTGCAGAGTGCAGTGAAGCATATGGCACAACATTCTGTTATGCTGAATCTAATCCAGCCTTTGTATCAAATTATTGCTCACCAAGTAATAAAAACAGTCAATTTCTAAGCCTGTTTAAAACTGAGGTGCTAAGATTGTGCACCAAACTATGACTGCCTTATTGTAAAACATAGGGCTGGGAGAGCTTCCAAGAAGTCATCTTAAAAATCTATCTAAAATTGGGGTTATCTCTGTTAAACCAGTCCCTGGGCATGTTACCAGGCTGTACTTAGCTTCCAGTAATGGAGACTCCATGATCTCGAGACCATCTTGTCCCAGGAGTAATTCCCCCTACAACTAGAAAAGTTGCCTAGTGTTAAACTTAAACCTTGCTGCAGCTTTGGCATAGAACTTAATGTCATATTGCTACACCTGATTATTTCAGATTCTTCCTTCTGATCTCTATCAATTTCAGCTTTAACCTGAAACAGTTCAAGCTGAATGCAAACCAGTAAGGAGAGGTGCAGCAGAAGAACAAACAAAGGTGCTCTGTGGGATTATAAGCACAGAATCTATCCAGTGCAATGTGGGCAAGCAGGCATCAGGGCTGAGTGCAGCACTCACATCTGTGCACTGGTACTTCTAGGGAACACTGTTTCCTCCAGTGCCACCTGCAGTTCATCCTAATCAGTCTTCTGTCTTCTCATCTTCTGCAGCTCTTGAATGCTGTGCCCTCCATTCCTCAGCTGATTGATTAGATCCTTAATTTCCTCTAGGGAAGAAAACAGATATTTCATCTGATAGGTTTATTTCAGGACTGTGAACTTTACCGAGTGCGCCAGACAGATTCTTTGAATAGAAATGGCATGAAATGGCTCCAGTCACTTCACATTAGCTGCCCTTTTCCTCATTGCTAAATATTATCCTGGATTTCTGAATGAGCCCTGCTTGCTCTGTGTGATCATGGAGGCAGAAGAATGAAGCCCATTAAATCATGAGAAATTTTTTCCAGTTTTTAGCCTAGTCTTCTCCTCTCCTATTTTCAGATGGTTGCTCATACAAAATGAAAATAGGATTCCACATTGTCTCTATGCAACAGAATGAGGCACTTTGCCAGGTGATGTAGGCCAGAGTAATGGGTTGGGGGATACAGCCCAGGAAGTGCTGGATCTCTGCCAGGGACTCCATCACCATTTTCTCTTGGCTGCAAGGACAGCAGGTTCTAAATCTGCATCTTCTAAATATTGACAGTGTCATCTTTCAGCCTCTTGGAGGAGATCAATTTTTGCAATTTACAGAATATTTTTATTTATTAAAAAAAAAAAGAAAAAAAAGCCAAGGCAGCTTGTCTCCCTGTACAG